TGTGGCAACTCATTCTGCACACATCAATTCTTTTGTATATACGATCATGGCGTGAATGCAATATGAATAGATGAATAGAGTGGAGATTCTGAAGATAAATATGAATGAGAGTGAATCAGTGATACGTCTGCAGTGAATGAGAAGAGCACCACTGCACAGTGGAACTGTAATGCAGTCGGCAGGTTCAGGAATGAGAGTGATGAGACATCGTAAACATTTGACGTGAAAACTGATAATGGAATGTGAGAGGCGAGTAGAGTGTAGGATAATGGATTCTGATGCAAGTGACTATTCAAAAGTATGCACGCACTTCATACTCTCATGCACAGCCCTCCTTCAACAGTCTATGCATGAATCCTATATCTAATTTCCATGCTCTCTTATCACTCTCATTCCTATGATAACTTGCTGCATTACAGTTCCACTGTGTGGTGATAGCTTTCTCATTAACTTCTGCCGCATCATTGATTCGCTTTCATTGCTGATTCTCCGAAGAATCTGTATTATATCTATTTCCCAACCTCGCTGTTTCAGTTCAGTTGGCTTTTCAATACAAATGAAACGAAAGAAGCGATTTGGCGAAACCTGAACAGCTCACCCTCAGATAATGATACCACCTTTTTGACTGATTTTACGAATCATCCTCATTTTACGAATCAGTTTTAACTGATTTGCGTGTATATCTGTGCAGACTGAGCTGAATCAGAGTTCCTTCCTCCCACTGATAATCGACTCAGAAAGAAGCGGTTTAAGAACTCCTTCCTAATAACCTATTATAAATCCACCATATAACGAGCATCAACTGTTCGGACGTATTCAGTTATCCAATACTCGAAACATTTCCACTTGTGTCTTGTCGCCCTCCTGCTAATCTCGAAACTTGTGTGCTGATATGTCCAACAATAAACAATTCAAACAACTGAGCAAATATGATTTATTTGATGAATTAAGTGATAAGGTTAAAGCAAATGCACAACAATATGAACGATCAAAAACATTCGATGTTGAAAAAATTATTTTCAAACCATCAAAAGTCATTACAAATATATACATACAAAATTTTTCATATATACAATACAAAATGATTTCTATTTCATTTCGTTGCATTTCTATCTTATGATGAATTCGACTTATCAATAACGATGTTTTCGTTTATGAAACACTTTTTCTGCAGAAATTATTTCTCGACAAGAAATAAAAGTCAACAAATCCCACAAACTGGAAATTAAAAACGTCTAAGAACAAAACTGAGAAGTAGACAGCTGTTGAGTTAATCAACGAAATGGGTCTATCCGAAAAAGTGTGATTCAATTCTTTAGTCACGGGCCTCCTCAATAACCATAAAAGGACGGTTATGCTTGTGGGTGAATGGCAGTGAATTGTGAAAGAGTACATAGATTCATCATACATAAAGGTATATTTCTTGGAATAAGTGCATTCCATAAAGTCGGAACTAATGATAACGCAAAGGCGAAGAGATCAGAGGTTAGACACCATTCATTCAATACATCTCAAAATGATACAAAATCGGTTCTGTTCACATTACCTTTTATTTGTGGAGCACACTAAAAACAGAGGAATGCATACGTACCAGAAACGCTTATGCAGAAGTTATGCGTTGAAGAGATCATCTGCGAAATTCTGATTTGATTCGAAGCTATTTCAACTCATAGATTTAAAATATTCCTAAAGAGCTCCTTTGAAACACATCGAATCCTCTGTTTTTGAAAAACAGTAACTGGAAACAATATAACAAGACAAAGCCAACAATATACGCATTTGAATACAACAACAACAACAAAAAGTTAAACTTCCAATCGAAATGTATCACTAAAAAGAGAATTATTCCTCGAATTTGATGTAAGTTTATTGGCGGAAGATGATCCATTCTGCAGTGGGTTTTCGCTATTTGTAATAACATTTTCACTTCGCGTTGATTTTGGTGACTGTACGCCATTCGGTTGCTCTTTGTCAGTTTTAATCTTATGTAAATTATTTTTTGGATCGGCACCGAAAGAGTTCACACACACCGCTGTATCATTACCAACACCATTACTGTTCTCAGCTCCATTCAAATGCCTCGCAACTTGTTCATATACTGCGCACGATGTCGATAACTGTGTCGTTGCCTCATATATTTCTGGTATACTGTCAGCATTTGGGCTGTAAATTATGGCCGAAGTTAGCACGCGATTCCATTGCCCTACTTGAAATATTTCTAACATCCAAAGTACCGAATTATTTTTGAGAATTTTGATCATACACTTATTTCAGATAATGAGCAACGCGAATGACCAATGATTCATGATTAATTCATTCATCTCAAGAAATTATAGTTAATCTCTTAATTTTCAATGAACAGTGTGATGATGAAATTCGGAATGCAAACAACCTGAATTTAAGAGGATCATGACTCTCGAATCCTCGAGTGGATTCTGTGTTAGAACCCAAGTCAACGTGATCCATGTGATCCGCTTCAACTGCGCTCAGTTCTGCTTCACTGAAACAAGACAACTGTTTACGATGAGCATGAGATGTGATATATTTATCGAAAAGTGAATGCACTGAATGAACACCTCGTAATATCGTCGTTATACTGAAGTTGTTTCAACAACATTCCAATATTATTCAACTTCAAAGGCGTTGCAGCTAATCGATTCAGCGACGTTTGCGACAGTGTTGGACTCAAATCAGCACCAACGAATGTATCCATGTATCGACTGGAATAATGATTTAATCCTGAAAACATTTAATCATCCGGAATTGATCAAACAAAATGATAACTTAAAAAAAGTCATATTTGAGCGGAAACTCGGTTGAAAAATTATCACAACGAAGCAAGCATGGTTCAGAATGAAAATGCGNCAAATTCTTCAAATACTCAGTGTCAATCAGTCAATGTTTAAAAGCTGCTAAAAACCAAAATCAAAGAATTACCGATCTCTGAATCAGTACTGTAACCATTCCTCGCTCGATCATATCGCATACCATTGAGATGATTATTGATAACAGAACATCTTGAAGGTGATTGAATTATATCACTACAACATTCGGTTCTGCCACCGTATAGTTCACTTTCAGAAAACAAACGTCTGCTTCCAGAATGTTCCTTCTTCAGTAGTGATGCCGGTGAACCTAAATTTCAATTTTTCAGACGAAACAACTTCAAAATGCATTAATTTTTGCGATTTAATTATCTCAACTGAGAGTGTTTCACTATGGAAATTGAATACTCAAAACTACTTCAAGGGATTTCGTCATAGAGATCAGCAACTTAGAGTGCGAACGTAAATTACAGTGATATGGATAAATGGTGAGTTATCATTGGCCAAACCATTATCGAAGCAATCATAACATAATTCTATTTTCCAATAATTTTATAATCTTTACTGCTACTGCTTCACTATTCTTACATTCAATTCGCCAAGTATTTCAATATTTTAATCGAATATAGTGGTGAAATATGAAAAATTTTTTGTGATATCGCAATAATGTAGAACGAAAGGCATGGCACTAATGCAAAAAACGAACTGATACCGTTCATCATTGTAGAGAGCATTGGCTGCCTGGATGCATAAGGTGATTCCGAATAGCTTACGGCCGATCCGACTGCACTACCCGGGCCAGGCGTATGTCCAATACTACCAGATTCTCGTGATTTCAGCGATACGGTATCGCGTTCATCACTCGCTTCATTGATACGTTGTAACGCATCGTAAACACGTTTGTTCTTCTTACGTTTCCTCTTCTCCTCTCTTAAAATTCCGAATTAGAAAATCTTTCTAAATTAGCGACATTTGTGACAGGATTCAACCATCTTGATGATTACGATTTTTAAAATTACTCGAATTCACAGTGAAAACATTTTGCGAATCTCATCTAAACGGCAATTTACAAATCTTATGTAAGTTAAATTAGTAAAATACAAAGCAATATTTTCCAACCTGTAACTGGGCATATTACCAAATTTGATGGAACGTTGTGCAATTTCGGGAATACTTTCATTCAACTTCTCATCCGCAAGTCCTTCTGGAAATTCAGCGGTGCTTCTCCTCCTGAAACAATTTCAACAAGCGTTATCACTTTCCTCAGCATCTGTTGCATTAGACATTAATATTGCAATGATATTAGTACGATCAGCCTTGATTATATTGCGGTTATTGCTAACAATATGAATCCAGAGTCCATAAAAACATCTTTAAGAATAAAGATCTACTCACCGATAGCAGAATAACAAGCATATGAGAAGTATGAGAAGTGCCACACCGACGAGTAATAAAATTGCGAGTAACGTGGTCGTGTTTAATGTGCGACCAGCTGGAATATGTCAAATTAAGATTAGTGAATATTCAGATGCTGCTGCATGCATTCACTATTGAATCATTCGATTAAGTTCCACTTGAAGGTTGGCATCGCCGCCTCCGAGACATAGTTAACATATGATTAAAAAATGCCAATAAACTATTCGAAATTTGCAAATCTTATGAATCAAAACTGAATTCTAGACAACCGTTGCAATAATATATCATGATAACGAAATGAAAGATCATCTGTAAAAAGTTCACCAGCAAGAGAAGGTATAATAAGATGATTTGGTGTGGCAGTGGTCATTGATATCCGGCGTGACGTATTCGATCGTATATCACAAGCGTTACCTGCCCATCCATCAAAACAAAGACAACGTTGTGTTGTGGTGCAATCCTGTAATGCATATTGCACGTACATAATTAAGTTACGCATTCTACTGGTCGAATTTGAAGTAAAATACAGTGCAGCAGAATTTAAACATTCGAATACGATATGGTGGTTGTCGATGAATTCAGAACTGCAAATACCAGTGAACTCAATTCAATCAGCAATAATCTAAATGCCGAATTACTAAATGCATCTACGAGCGATTTAAAATAAAGCTGATCTATATGTAATGAAATAAGCCACATACTCCATGTCCCGAACACTGCAGGGCTAGGTTGTTGCTCGGACAATGAACCGGTGGAGAGACTTGTGTTAACGGTAAGCATACTGACTGAACACAGACTTTTCCTGAGCCACAACTCGAACCATCTGCGACCATACCGAACGAGGATTGCGTCACCATCCTTGATTAATCAATTGTTCATTCACAAGCGTACACTCATTCTATCGCTACGGAATGCTAAGTCAAACAAAAAGTTCGCCATAGTGAAGTGCATTACTAAATTAACGCTTAAGACAAAAATCAAACGTGCAGTTGCACTGCACGATCAATTCCATCTGATAAGCAATCGAAATATAATCTCATCGAATTCCGCGAACAAAACAACTCACTTGCACTGAACTTGCTTCGCTTCATGAAGGAATTGCAAATTGAACGAATTCAAACGATGATCCAATGGCGCTTGTTTACCAGCACGGCAGTGCAGCGAACCACATCGGATATTCTCAAGCGCACATTTACGCAGATTACCATCACGATCAGTACCACAGTTACCGTACTCAGCACCTAATTGATTGCGCTCAAAACAATGCTCATCAGCAGATGAGGCATCTGAAATTTGCTTCATTTTTGTTTCCAAACGTTCGAAGAGCATAACTTTATTGGGAGATGAATAGGTGAATTAATTAACGTGCGGTGGGGATGTAGAGATAAATGAACATTAAAAATAAATTAAGATCTCAAGAGAAGGTCGAAGCAATGAGTACGTTAACAAACTCACGGACTATCGCACAATTTCACAAACGACTCAACAAATATTTCTCTGAACAGTGCCAAAACCGAACTTATTAAACAACAAAACTCGATTATCAAAGCTACACTACACTGATAACGATGACTCGAAACATGTGTTGAATTACGAACCTTCTCCCCACAAAAATTTGCACTGCTGTTCAATATCCGAGCAGTTTCCCTTCCAGCATTGCCCGTTAATACCACAAACTGTACCATCAATAAGATAACCGTCCAATGGACAATCACCATTATCACCAGTGCACACTTCCGGCACATCGCAGATTGATTTCGATGCACGACAAATATGACCGGCTGGACGAAACTGCAATAACTCCTTCGATAGTTTTGAATTATGCCTGTGCTAATTCTCACATAAGCGATACGAGCACTGATGAATTCAGGTGAACGAGCGAAAAAAATTGGAATGGAAAAACCCCGTGGGATTAATTGATGATAGGTTAACTCTTGGCGATTACGATTCCGAGAAAACAAGAAGAATACTTTGTAGAATAACCTGACAACGATGGCAGCACGACTGGTGTGCAGCGCACTGTGCATGTGCACGAAGTGTGCATGTCAACGGATCACAACACGGATCGAAACATTCTTCTCTTGTTCCACAGTCACATTCCTCTTCATCATCCACAATACCGTTTCCACACTGACGCAACGACGAGACCTGAAAGACTGATTTTTGTCANTCACGGTTCTAGAGGAATAAAAGCACGAAAATCTTCGAAGCGATGAAAGTGTTTAGGCAGACGAATGCAGATATTGGATAGCTGACAATTTTTGTGATAATGATGAAATTTTGAGCGATTATCGATATGAACAATGGGAATTAGACAATAATACCATCAAGTGTGACGTGCGATTAAAGCAAGAAAAAAAAACCTGAAGAGGCCTATTGAGAAGACACTGCAGATGACCTGACTGTAAAACGCTATGCATCCTCGCGACACTACATCGTGAGAATTGCCATAGAAATGATGAACCAATTGAACTGAAATTTATGAATGAGAATTTCTTGACCTTCGAACTGAATGACCCATAGTTCCTTGCACTCTTCACAAAATCTGCAAGGAAGCCGTTTGCCCCGAACATTCGTGAACACAGCATTCGATAAGTGGATAACAACCCACTGCAGTCTGATTTCCATTGTGAATATTCTTTCCATTTTTGAGAAGAGAAATTGGTGACAATTTTAAAGAAACAATTTCGAAATTTGATAATTACAGATTATTCATTTCAATCAGAATTTGTAAGATTCCGA